ATTTCTGTCACGTACCAATTGTGTAATCACGATTCACTCATACCATTCTCTAGACGTTAGGCTCCTGATCTGTAAAATCAAACAGATTGCACTGGGGATCATTTTATATTTGGAAAATGCGGTAATTTAAGAAAGGCATCTTTAAAAACTGATGTCTCTGCTACCACTGGGAAATAACTCTATATATAACCCCAAAAGAAACTGATGCAAGGAAGGTTAAAAGTACCTGTCCAGAAAGCACATTCATGTTGGGCAGATTTGTTCCTGAGTACTCGCATTGGAAGATTGCTTGATTGATGCCCTCGTTTTAAAATAATAGCAAATATTCTTCACTATAGGCCCAAAGATACTGAAAAAAGAACCTACTGAGAGAATGAAGTTTTAGAATTAATTTTCCATATCTCTGGATGCTACAAATCAGAAAAGCACTGCTAGGTCCTTCAGCCTTAATTAGTATCACACTGTAACTAGTCTCCGGATTTTTCAAATGAGCAAAAGAAGTTTCACAATCTATTTAATATACCGCATTCCAAATATCTGTTTACTCAGTTGTTATAAATTGCCAGTGGGACAGAAACTGTCTGTCACTTCTAGAGCAATTAGTGTGTGAAAACTTATCAAAAGAAATCTGTCAAGTTTGAGTAAGTATAAATATTACATGGCAGTCTCTGAGGAAATCAAATTGAGTGGGATACATTTTTTTGTTCATCGCAGTGCATGAGAATTTATTTTGTTTTATTTACTTGGCTTATTTTTCAGAATGTTGATAGCATTTCACATAACCCAATGGATTAATGTTTTGCCCTGATAAAAATAGATTTTGGTTCTTAGGGGAAATCTCTATTGTCTGTTGAGAATTATAGCAATACTGCTCTTTACTTTCAAATGTCAAAAGCTCTCCATTGTTCGAAAAGCTGTGGAATGCGAGCTTAGTCAGATATACAAGGTCATTGTCTGCCCTGCCACTTTCTGATGCTCCAGATAACCTCCTCTAGACCTCAGAATTTTCATAGCTTCAAATGAAGACCAAGGACTCGCGATATGTTGATAGTTCTCTAGCTTTACGTTTTACCTACTCGATCATTGTGTCACTATTCCATTATGTTCCACTTGGTGTTTCTTAAATACCTTGGACATACACACAGATAAAAGCACAGTATTCCAGATAATGACTTTTAGTCTGAAGAAAACTGTTAATATATTAGCTAGAGATTTCATCTGTTGGGGATTTAGCATTTTATACAACATGGTTTACCATTTTCATCTACTGTGATTTCGTTTCTGACCATTGCCCTCTGGAACTAAACAACATTTACAAGACTCAGATGCAGAAGTGATGATGTTAGTGAGAACCTTAGCACAATCTCTGCAACGTACTTTATGACAACTATTACTTGTCCCTTTTTCACATTTTGAAAAATTATTAGGGTATGATATACTTATTGTAATTCAGAAATTTTATTACAACTTTAATTGACCATTTTGTTGTTTCGTTTCTTTTATTCTTCACTTCTATTAGAGTTCATGGAAATTTTTAGTAAAAGCAGAGAAAAAGACTGATGCTAGAAGACACTAGACAATTGTCCACCTTAATTACGTAAGACAACTTGAACAACTATTACTGAGTGGCTTGGTCCCTGGAGGCTCCAATAACTGATGAGGCACCTGAGGCCGTCCTGCAAATTGTTTTATGAGGATCTAAGTATGACTTGCCTCATCCGTGATTTTGCTTTTCATTCCTGCTTACCACCCCAATTGTTCATGGATCTGATTTTTATTTGTTTTTAAAATAAATTTATTTTTATCTGATACATTAAAGAAACATCAATTACATATTAATGAAGTAATATGATGGATGACTCAATACATATATGCATTATGTAGTGTTTGAATCAGGTTAACTATATCTACTCAAGCTGTTTACTTCTTTGTTATAAAATCTTTCAGAATCCTTATTTCTAGCATTGAGAAAAGTACAGTTCATTTTTGTTACACTTTATTGTTTTCCATTGTTCTGTGTAATGTTGCTAATGTTCCTTAAAACTGAATTACAATTAAAAAGTCTTTGTGTTATCTTTAAAGTTACTGAAGTAATTTTATTAGTTCGAGGTTTTTCAAAGTAGGACATATGAGCTACCGAGGAATGAATGTTCTAGAAAAGCACTGTGTGTGTCTGATAACTGCCTGATCAAATACTTCTAAGTGATTCAACACTAAAGTATTTTGAAGACAGTGGCATGTAAAAATGCCTTGACGGGCCTGAAAGAAAAATTTAAAAATGTATTTAACTCTTTGCTTTGCAAAGATCATGTAAACCTTTGGATTTGAAGAAAAGGGACTGTGACCCAGAATTACTATTCAAGGGCTATGAGTTGGGAAATATTGCAGTGTGCATTTAGTTATTTGTGTCACCCACTCAAACACCAAGTCACTGAAATAGAAAAAAAAAATAATGAGGCAAAAGAAATTTGCTTATTTGTAAATAGATCAAAGAGCACATTAACTGAATATGCTTTTTAAATTTTTTACTTTATAATGATTAAACCAGGAAGTACAACAGTGGTAATAACTAATGTTTGTATAGCCCTTTAGATATTTCAGAGTAATTTCCCTTAAGTAGACTCTGACTCTATACCTGCATTATATTTAAAATAATTGCCATTCTATATACTAAGAAGTTGAAAGCTAGAGGGTTTAAATGGTTTCCCTTGTGTACCATAAGTTTGAACTTTGGTCTTCCAGTCTTCTAGATGTTTTCCTTCTGGTTAGAAAAGTAACAAAGAAAATGTCTCTTTTTTGTTGCCTGGAATAGTCACTTTCTATTTGCTAAACAAGACTTCTAATGAAGAATCCAAAAATCTTCACAGCTGCTAGGCACTACAACAGTTTTGAACCATATCTTCAGGGAAAAAAATGAACAGTTTTGGGTATTTGATCATAACTCTCTGTGGAGAGGTGTGGGTTGATTAATACTGTGCTGGTAAATTACTTTCTAAGTTCTACCTTGTGACTTTAGAGATGCTAATTTATATTTAAAACTCTCTTATAGCTAATTAGGAAAGAGGCAATGTTTTGTTCATTGTTCATATGAGAAAGCTAAGTTTCTGGGAGATTACTGGGTTTGCCTGAAACTCACATTCCAATTTAAGCCAGTAAGAGTGCAATGTCTGCTTGCTAAAATCTCTCATTCCTGTGGAATGACTGCCATACTCGATTATGTTTCTTCATGACCTATTTCAGGGGCTTTTCCTTCCCCAGATTTTAGTTTCTTGAGGAAGTAACTAGCTTGCTAGGAAGCACTTGTTTGTTTATACTGAGTAGACTCTTGACATCAGCATGGAGTTACTTCTAATTATATGCACATGCATAAATAAAATGATTAACTATTCTCATATAAACATAATTATATATCTCCAAAATAATGCACATGGAAACATAATAATTCAGGGATACTGGGAAAGCAATCTGCACCACCCCTCCTTTGTATGTAAACAGCAGATTATTAAGGCAAAACCTGGTTTTTGTCACACATTAAATTGTTGAGCTCCATTACATTTGGGACCAATTGAAAGATTAAATGGCAAACACTCATGTTATAAATTAGTGTTCTCTACAGAAAATTCACGTGGCCTTTCTGCCATTTTCCAAGAACACTTTCTACACTTGAAATTTAACCCACGATCACATTAAAGACCAACATGTAATAACTCAGCCAACCAGTTCTGAAACTGGAGGTTCCTTTGCAACTCTTTGCTCCTTTCCCTTTCTTCAGCAAAGTAATTTTTGAAGACAAAGCTGGCTAATTAGGGCCATTTACTAGTATGTCACTTTTCAGGTTTGAAATGATCTGGAGTTCACATGATAGAGGAATCATGAATTTCCCAGTGCTAAAGTTTGATTGGGACAGGGAAGTTCGCTTTAGCAAGTCAAATAAATTAAGTGTTATGAGCATGTGTTTATTCACACAACATTTAACTAATCTTAAGAGAAGTAAGAACTTTCAAAGGAACATGTTCAGATATAACTGCCCATTATATTTATCCTAGTGGCATTTTGAGATGAATAATTGACTGCAAAAATTTGACTCTTTGACCACTATTTCATATTCCCTGTCATATGTATATAATAACTTTTTAACTAATTTTTAAAATTCTGATTGATATTTGTGGCCTTAATCAACTGGAGGGGTATTTAAAAATATTTGTCACAGCTGGGTGTGGTGGTACATGCCTGTAATCCCAGCACTTGGAGGCTGAGGCAGGAGGATCCTTGCAAGTTTGGACCAGCCTAGACTACAAAGTGAGCTCAAGGCCAACCTGAACTGACAGTATGACCCTGTCTCAAAAATACAAAAAAAAAAAAAAAATTACCACAATATTAAATTACTTCTCACCAAATAAAAAAAGAATCAAATTTAGGTTGATATTGAAAGACACTGAAAGGTGCTGGACTGTGACTCAGGAATTCCTGAGTTTCCGTCTAGGTCTAAGAGTTAATTCTTGTGTGCCGAAGTTTCTCAGTTAATGGACAACTATCAAATGCATCAGAAACCACAAAGTACTTGGCTGGTATATAGCATTGCAATACATTAGAATGATTATACGTGAAATGAGAGAAGTGGTCCAGATAACTTCCACAATGGCTTCTCGCATTGCTATATCAAGATTATAGACTCCCTGGGTATATAATTTTAATATTAGTTTAGCATATGTTATACAATTCTTGATACATGTTTAGCAAACTGCAAATGCCTGGTGCTTTGATTTAAATAAGCTGGACTTCTCTTAAGCAACTATTAAAGCATCTTTTAGTTCTCTAGAAAGAAAACATTACTGACTGACAGAGGGATTCTGTAGTAAAACATTATAGAGGTTCTACAGAGGCTGAAAAGTGATCATGGGGTAACGGTGTGTATTTCTAAAGAGACGACTTTTTTCTGAACAATGTAGAGTTCAGTTAGTAAAAACTGAGTTTACACTTAATCTTCCTTTTACTTTCAGAGTTGAGCTATGCCTGGATCTTCAATGAATACCCTTCCTACCAAGATAATCGCCGCTTTGTTTCTCAAGAGACTGGGAATCTGTACATTGCCAAAGTAGAAAAATCAGATGTTGGGAACTATACTTGTGTGGTTACCAATACTGTAACAAATCACAAGGTCCTGGGACCACCTACACCTCTAATATTGAGAAATGATGGTAAGTAATTTTTAAATTATATTTTTGTGATCATAGACTCAAAATAGGAAGATATGTTGTTAACACACCAAGCTTTTAAAGTTTAATGGTTTCTATATTTGATACATATACTTTTTCCATTTATATAAGAAATATACCCATTAATCCATTTTAGAAAACTAATTAGAAATGTAATTGCTAATCTCCACAGGAACAAAATGTAGATTTAGGTGAATATAAATAACAAAGGAATCTATTTCTTGTTTCTCTCCCACTTGAATTGTATACACAGGTAGAATGAAGTGAAAGACTGAACTAGGTAACTTTGTATTCAATGTCCAGAAAGAAGTTTTAAATTATCCATTTAACCTCTGGATTTATAATAATAGAGGCAGAGTTCACATCACAGTGAAATGCAAAATAATGAGCCTCTTTTGAGGCAGAAGTTCTAATTCCTCACTCTACTATGAAATATTTCAAGAAGATAAGTGAGTTTTACATGAATTACGTAAGTGACCTAATAGTGCATGGTAAATCACCACGTACGTTTTAAGGATAGTCTTATATGCCAAACTCTAGAAGTACTCTTCTTTTTTCCATAATGTTTTTGTTCATTTGTTTAATATGGGCTGTTTCTTCTTTCTGAAAATACTCTTCCTTCCCTAAGTCCCAAGCTCCAACTGGGATACGTTACATGGAATAGCCCTTGTAGTTTCTTCAGATGTATCACTTTCCTAAGAAGCTGTCTCTTTCAATCCAGTTTTTTCCTCCCACACAACGCTAGATGTCTCCTCTATGAACCCAGAGTGGCCCACTATTAAACCTCTAAGAACTCTTTTGTTTTGTATCACCATTGCCAGTGTGTGCCAGTGTCTGTATTAGTGTTGGCAAACTTTTTAAAGCTTTCAGTGATGACAAACAGCCTACTGTGGCCAGCATGTGTAGAATCTTACTCATCTGCTGTCCATTCAGCACCTAGTGCAATACCAGGTAAACATAAGTGTTTTAATAAATATTTTTTGAAGGATGAAAATGAACACAGAAGAAAGATTTTCACCAAGAACTGATATAATGATTTAAGGCTGCAGAGTTGATGTGTTTAGGTTTCTGTTCTTTTTAAATCTCTTTCCCTTTTATTATACATTTGAACCTTGCATTATGAACAGGAATGACCAAGTCCATCATAAGGTGAGGAGACTGTTAGTCAAGAATGTTAAGAGAAAACATATATTAGGGACTTACTGTGTGCTAGGCACTATACCCAGTATAGTACATGAAGGATCTCATTCAAAACTTAAGCAATTGTAGAAGTAATAGTTTACCTTACAGAGTACAGGGCTCAGATATGTTAAATAATGAATCCCAAAAACTATGTAGTTATAAATAATACCTTCAACCCAACACTCACATCTTACTGACTTCACAGACTAAGGTTCCATGTTCTCTTTCACTATACTGTACCACCTCATACCTGAATTCATACCAGAAAAACTTGGAAGTTTCAAGATTGGAAGCTACATTTCTATCCCCCAAGTGTGTTACCCTTTCCCTCTATATTTTCAAAGAATTTTGTGTTCAAGTGGAGCCTAAACCTGAGCTTTCTGGAATAGAGCATTCTAAACAAACAAACAAATAGTTCTGAGAAGAGGATCTGATTTCCTACAATACAGACTATGGAATTTTTTTATCAAAAATCATGTTAGTTATTATTTAATATACCATTCAACACATTTATTTTATACTTGTTCTGTGATAGCAACCATTTTGTGTGCCAGTAAGCTAGCATATAAAGGTCCCTACCAAATGCCATTCATATTCTTCTCAGGAACATAGATGCAAGGAAACAAACATAGACAAAATTAAAGATCGAATTATTTCATAGAGTAATAAATATACCAGCATGAAAAAGGAGAGGGTCTGGGGAGTGGTTCTCTATTTTCAAAACAGGGAAGACTTTTCTGGAGCAGCTCATAGGGCTGGCAACCTGCACACTAAGAAGTGCTAGGAGCATCCGAGGGAGAAACAACCAGTCCAGGCTGAGTTAACACTACATACAAAAGCTCCAAGATCATTAAAGAAAATCATCCAGCCCTTGGCATATTCTTGAGAAAAGGAGTGTAAGCATGGCTAAAGCACAACGAGCAGGCCAGAGAACGGTTTCAGCTGAGACTGCAGAGGCCAAGGGCCAGATTTTGAGGCCATGGAGAGAAGACTAGAGTTTATTTCTAGTGCAATGAGAAGCCCTTAGAATACTGCACACCAGAAAGTGACTGTTTTTAAACACTAACTATTATGTAGAAAATGAACTTCTCAAAGCAAGAGTTGAAACTGGGAGTCCAATTAGAACACTTGAAAAACTTCATTTAGAAAATACAGTGGCTTCAGCCAGAGGAAATACTGGAGAAGTAGAGAAATGAACTCAAAGTATAGTTTTTAGGTAAAACTGCCAAAAACTTGCGAGAAGATAAAAGATAAAATAGTGCCTGGCATAGCATTTGAGGATATAAGAATGTAATTTACTGGAATGATTTTACAGATTAGATTTGTAAAGGAAAGTTAGGAATGTTATTTTAGACATTATTTATAAAGCTAAAACATCACTTCTCCCTTGGCAACAGGAAAAATTATTTGTTTTCTGGTTTGCTTGGTGCATTTCTCTGTCATAGTATTCGTCTAATATAGCCTCCTTTCTAGTCAACTGGATTTCTCTACCAAATTCACATAAGGGTAAAGCACAGATAGCAGTTCTCATTCAGTTGTGGACTAGACCCCAGCAGCCTGCTTGCCACATGAAAGGAATTAAACCAGTATGTTAGATTAAAATGCATTGTATTAAATAAAACTAAACAATTATCAATTTAGAGAAAGTTAGACAAGTTACCAGTTCTGTCAAAAGCTATCAGTGCCACTTCTCTAGAACTAAAGATGAAGAAATTTTCACAAGATATGTTCAAGTTTTTGTAAGAAATCACTTAAAAGTACAGCCCCTCTGGCTTCTACTCAAAGCACACATTTGCCAAAATGTTCATTCAGCAGTATAATCCCTTTTGCTGTGTCAAATCACAGATGTAATAAAATATTGACTTTGATGCACTATGACATAGCTAGCGACAAGCATCACACAAAACTGCTGCTTCAGGAAGCAGGGCAAACTTCAGGAGCACAAAAACTCCAGAATCATCACGTACACTTCCAGTGGACAACAACTTTGCCTTTTGCTTGCCTTTTAGATTTACCTCAAATTGTCTACTATGTCTTCATAGAAATGACAAACGTTTTTTATTAGAATGTTTTATCACAAAATTAACAGACTAAGGATCTCATTCTTCAGTAATTAACACCCATTCATTCTTAATTTCCAGGAGAGTTGAGTGGTGAAAATTCATAATGTCTTTCCCATTTAAACTGGAGTACATAAAATGAGCACTCAAGCTATATTACTAAGCACAAAAGAAGTTATTTAATTAGTTCTTATCTAAAGGTGAGAGGAAAGGGGAAGCGTAAATCAAGAAGAGACTGTGAAATAAAGATGACATTCTTATTAAAGTCTATTCTGTAAGAATAAAATCAAAGTATTACTCCACAAGATCCAGTATTTAGTGACTTTTTTTGACTGATAAGTGAAAAAAGAGAAGGAATTTATGCTTTTTGATCATTCAAGCTGACTAAAAATTTTAGAGCCCCGCTCTGCTTCAGAAATGTGATGAGCAAGGCAGAGGAATTTCAAGTCCAAACTAAACCAGTTCCCGTAACTGGTCCTTTTCCTCGGCTAAGAACAAGTGGGACTAAAAGAACTAAACTAATTTCTTTTGTATTCCAATTAGGCAGTTGTGAGACATGATTGCTTCCGCCCCAGAAGGTCACACAGAATCACAGAAGTGGCCTCTGAACCTTGTCTGAAATCCTGATGAGCAGCAGCGTGGTGACCCTTGCCTGTCTCCTTGGTGCTTGCCCTTCCCCGGGACCCAGCATGGCGCCTTGTTTCCTAACTCCCTGCCTTTCACACGTTACTAAAATGTGGGGTGGAAAGGAAGCTGAGAGGACCCGGGAGACTTCCTGGGAAAATCCAGCCTTACCATTTAGTAGTTATATGATTTTAGAGGTGTCAGTTTAACTCCACTGTCTTTTATTTTCTCATCAGTAAAATTAGGATAACAGTGTCTGCTTCAGAGAGTTATTTTGCTTAAGATGTATGTAAAATACTTTGAACGTGATAAAATAGTAGAACATCAATAATCCTTCTTCCTAAGATGTGTTCAACAAATTATATACAGATTAAAATAAAGTATAGCTAGTATGATCCTGTTTTTAAAATATAGATGAGAGAGAAAGTTGGAGTGATACTTTCCAAAATGATAACAATGTTAAACTCTGAAGTGTTTGACCTTCAGTGGTGAAACTTCACATGCTTTTTTTCCCTTTCTGCTTTTCTGAATTTTCTCATAGTTTCTAATGATTATAGGTATTTCTATTTAGAACAATTTAGAAATAGGATTAATACACAGATGATTGGATTTAGAGGGTATACAGCAATCACTCAATTGTATATATTTTGGAGAAAAAGAGAGGGTTTAAGGAACTGAGAAATGATACAAAACAGCAGGCTTTGTCCCTCACTATCATCTAAAAGAACTGTCCCTAAATTTCCTCAAACAGACGTATAACACAGCATCATATAGCATAACCATTAGAAAAGTAACAGGATCTGATGATAATCATAATGGCTGTTTCTTTGATCTGGATCCACTCTCCCTAACTGCCTCTTCCATACAAAGAACATAGAAATGTGCAGTTGAAAAAATGAGATGAGGTCTATAAGGATGTTTATGCGTGTCACATATACAAGGGCACCGTTGAGCATGAAAATCACTGTCTAGCCTTTGCTTTTTTTCCTGTATTTTCCTTGAGAGTGGCTGGAAAGTGGTTTGGCAGTTCATTGCTTTGCTTATTAAAACTCAGATAAATGTTGAACAGTTTGTGGTCTGGGTTTTTTGATAGGCACATGCTTTGAGTGACTTGTT